AGGAACTGTATTAAAGGGTCACAGCATTAGGAAGGCTGAGAACCACTGCTATATAAGGACATAGAGGAAGGAAGCCTCCCTCGTTGCCTGCTTGTTATTGCCTGGGCTAGGAGAAGTCCATTCTTTCACTGTCATTAGAGCCCACTTCTTCAGGAATCCAGTGTGCACTGAAGACCAGCTAAGACGTCCACCTCCTGGACTAAATACCTACTGGATTCATGGACCTTCCATTCATAATTCTTGGATTAGCTGACTACAGCCTTTAAGTCATTCTAATAAATACCCTTTTTGTACATATAGATTCATTCTATAAGTTCTGTTAGTCTGGAGAACCCTAATACACTGTAATTCCTTCTAGAATTAGTGTTGGTTTTTTCAGTGAAAAATCTAGATTTATGTACATGAGAACCATCAACTACACTGATGGAATAAAGTCACAGCCTAGCACTGCTATAAAAACAGGGCTGGGGATACAGCTCAGCGAGCACATGCTCAGCCTACATTAGACAACAACAAAAGGCCAGCCCTGGCACCAGCAGGGTATAAGCAGCACACCCAGCATGTTATGACAGGCTCTTCCTTAGCTAAAGAAGGGAGTATCACCACAGGGAAACAAATGGTGCTTACCTTTCACATCCAAGACTAAATTTGGCTTCAACTTGCTGTAGATCCTGCCATCAGACTTCATGCACCAGAACTGACTGTCGACATTTTGATCAAGGGCTAGTCCTAGTTTAGAGCCAGACGTTACGAGGCTACCCACGATCGTCAGGCAGCAATCTTCTGCTATCTGCTTAGGAAAGAACAGGCTGTGTCAGGATACACCTCAGTCTCACAAACTGATGTCTGAGACTATTGTAGTCCCTGGCTTCCCTCCATGTGAGCCATGGCAGCTCTCAGCTCCGGTAACTGCAGCCAAACAATAGGCCTTTTTTTTTTCAGATGACATGGGTGATGAGGAGTTCTCAACTCTCAGGCACTATAAGACTGCCCTTTGTAGGGCTCTCCATTACTATTAAGAAAAGCCTCACAGAGACTAAGCAGTTCACACCAGTTGCTCTTTGGAAGGGCTAGTATTCAATTCCCAGAACCCACAGGCTAACAACGGTCTGCAACTCTAATCTCAGGGGATCTGACGCCCTCTTCTGGACTCCATGGGCACCAGGCATGCAGGTGGTGTACAGACATAAATGCAGGCAAAATATCCATATAATTAAAAAGAAAAAAGAGAAGACTTGGTACAACATATTGCCCACCAGTCAACAGTGAGCAAGCTGAGACTGCGTCTGCAGCTCACACGAGTTTCCAGCTCATGCTCACTCCTCCCTGTAGCTGCATCAGAGGAGTCACAGAATGCACCCCTCCCTCACCACCACCATCCCCTGTCCCGCTGCAACCCATAGTTACAAGCACTGGCTCCTTGTCTTTCATTCATGAGAAACATCTAAATTTTTCTAAATTGGCATGCTATCCAGGTATAAAAAGTAGGAAAACGCAAACTCAGAAGAAGAAGTTACTTTAATGCAAGGATTTTAAATATCCTTCATGAAATAACAGACAGTGAAAGCTTATTAAAAGTGGGCTGTTCTGGGTAGGGGACATGGCTGAGGGAGTTGGGGGACTTGGCTAGCATGTGAGAGGCCTTGAGTACAGCATGCACGAGTGTGCTGAACACACACACATGCCGTTGAAAGCACTATGATCATCTGTAATATTTCACTTTTTCCTTCTTGGCCTACTGGGATGAGGTAATAAATAATGTTGAGAAAATGTTAGAATTGCTGATGATACCACTTTCTTGCATCAAGATGATCCAAGGGCAGAAGTTGCCTTTGTTTGAGCTCCAGTCCTTCACTCACCCCTGCTTCTCAATGCTGTTTTCTTCTGTGTGGCTAAGCAGTACCTCTCTAACAAAAGCAGATTCTCCCTCAGGCACAACAGACCTAATAAATGGGCATGTCTCTGCTGACTCACAGGCACTAAGTTTTTAAAATATCAAGAGCAAACAGGCAAGCCCATAAAATCAAAGAGTTAAGAAGATGCCCACAACAGTTCATGAGCTTGTCTCATGGGATCTGGCCATTGCTTTTAACTGTCTGCTGTGGCAGGAGTGATGAAAGCACAACAGACATTTTCCATTTACAGCATGTGACCATTAGGAAATGAACTGTACTATACAGCACACACGTTTCCCCACCCTACTCTGCGTGTTCTCCAAACAGAATCAGCCCTAGAGTGATTTCTGATGTTGTGTGGGTATTCTAGTTTTATGGCTAGAACACCATCACTCCCTTGCTGGATCCATGCTAGATTCCCTTCCTATTTTAACTTCCTAATCCTGATTCTGATTCTGTCACAGCTGGGAAATATTTCCATGGGGAAAAATTTCCTATTTATTTCTGAAAGGTCTCTGGGAATTGTCTGTGCAACCCAGAATGCTCAGCCTACATTTGATGCATCTTTCTTGTGCAACTCTAAATACTCACTCACTCTACACTTGATGCATTCTTCTTGTGCAACCCAGAATGCTCACCCTCTATTTGATGCATCCATCTTGTGCAACCCAGAATGCTCACCCTGGATTTGATGCATCTTCCATGCGCAACTCTAAATGCTCACTCACCCTGCATTTGATGCATCCTTCTTGGTAGACCCAGATCTGATCGTCAGCACCAACGTCTTCCATGACCTGGATCCTAAGAAGCTTCAGATCCTCTAAGTTCCCATTGGTTGACATAAACAGTCCTGTTGCTTTGTTTCGAAGTCTGAAATAAATTCGTTTCTAGAAGACAAAACCCCATTGACAGTCACATATATAGCTGTGCTGTAGGAAGAACTGAGACACAGTGACATTTGGAAGAATCCAAAGTGAAGCAAATGGGTCAAGGAGGGAGATCGCACCCAAGGGTCACGTGCTAAGGGTCTTAGCACTGTTCTCAATGCTAAGGTCTGAGGACCTTTCAGAGTGAACAACCAGAGGTGACACATGCATGTGTGCTATTGGGCTTGATGGCATTTCTGGAATATCCATGCCTCATGGTGCCACAAACCTGATGCCCAATACAGAGGGAAGAGGAGACAATGCCAAGCTTCCAATTGAAAATAAAGGTTGAACTATATTCACAAATATATTTTTTGAGAAGAGTCTATTCACAGCATGGAAGGAAAATTTCACATACCTGAGCAAAGGGCCGGAGAGAACCTATTTGGCGACAGCCACTGAACTCATACCAATTTGGCACTTCTGCGGGAGACAGTAGGAACTGTCGGCCTCTGTAGTTGCCATATTCGTAAGTAACCCATCTGAAAAGAGGACAAGCCGTATAACAGTGACAACTTCCATTTGATGGTTGGCCCTGACAGTCACATTGGCTTTCAGAATAGCACAAATTTATTTATCATTTACTTAGCTGTTTATTTATCTTCCTTCCTTCCTTCCTTCCTTTCTTCCTTCCTTCCTTCTTTCCTTCCT